GCTTCTAGACGCCCGATCAACACGGGACAAACACCAATCGGTCCCAAATTTTCTCCTTAATCATTTTATGGCCAACGCGACGCGGAGCGAGCCAAGATATCTTGTTTAAATATCCATTTGACTAGGATTTGGCGTTATTTGAAACGCTCAGTTTTTGCAGCGAGCTTTTCCTGTTAGGGCCTGCGAGATACCCGCGGAAACACATATCTCTTCAGCATTGCGCGCCACACAGGAATGCGGCTGATTCACGTGCTTTTGTGAGCGAGGTGCTTCCCTCCGGGAGAAATTCGCCGTCCCCATATGCTTAACACAGAGCCGAGCGGCGGCTGACAGGTGGCCGGCTCTCGGGAGATCGGCAGCCGACACTCGAAAAATCGACAACCCGCCGCTGAATGCGCGTGCGGCAGTGCTGAGCCGAGTCGTTCCCACGGTCTGAGGTACCCCCAGTTTGAAGATTCGGCCTTAGAATATGTAGTTTTAAATACGTAGTTTGACGTACATCTCGGAAAAGTGAGATACGGCCAGAAATGAGTGTGGGTCCCTCCGTTCTGAAGATTCTGATCGACGCCGATTGAAATAATTCGCCGTGCATATCTCGGCTTATTGACGACCGATTGACACGGGATAAACACCGATCGATACCAAATGGCTCTGTGTGTGTGTGTGGGGGGGGAGGGGGTAGAGTGGCAAGTTTTCCTACCCGACGAACCCGGAATTATCCCGAGGGGGTAGGTGTGGGAGTAGAGTCGGGGGAACGGGGGGGGGCGAGTGCAAGTACCAAGTACTTTCGCAAGTACCAAGCAAGTACCAAGTACTTTTACAAGTACCAAGCAAGTACCAAGTACTTATGCAAATACCAAGCAAGTACCAAGTACTTTGGCAAATACCGAGTACTTATGCAAATACCAAGCAAGTACCAAGTACTTTGGCAAGTACCGAGTACTTTGGCAAGTACCAAGCAAGTACCAAGTACTTTTGCAAGTTCAACAAGTTTTTCGTGAATATCTAAGCTTCTAGACGTCCGATTAACACGGGACGAACACCAATCGATCCCAAATTTTCTCCCTCATACTTTGATTGCCAAAGCGACGCGGAGCGAGCCAAGATATCTTGTTTAAATATCCATTTGACTAGGATTTGGCGTTATTTGAAACGCTCAGTTTTTGCAGCGAGCTTTTCCTGTTAGGGCCTGCGAGATACCCGCGGAAACACATATCTCTTCAGCATTGCGCGCCACACAGGAATGCGGCTGATTCACGTGCTTTTGTGAGCGAGGTGCTTCCCTCCGGGAGAAATTCGCCGTCCCCATATGCTTAACACAGAGCCGAGCGGCGGCTGACAGGTGGCCGGCTCTCGGGAGATCGGCAGCCGACACTCGAAAAATCGACAACCCGCCGCTGAATGCGCGTGCGGCAGTGCTGAGCCGAGTCGTTCCCACGGTCTGAGGTACCCCCAGTTTGAAGATTCGGCCTTAGAATATGTAGTTTTAAATACGTAGTTTGACGTACATCTCGGAAAAGTGAGATACGGCCAGAAATGAGTGTGGGTCCCTCCGTTCTGAAGATTCTGATCGACGCCGATTGAAATAATTCGCCGTGCATATCTCGGCTTATTGACGACCGATTGACACGGGATAAACACCGATCGATACCAAATGGCTCTGTGTGTGTGTGGGGGGGGGAGGGGGTAGAGTGGCAAGTTTTCCTACCCGACGAACCCGGAATTATCCCGAGGGGGTAGGTGTGGGAGTAGAGTCGGGGGAACGGGGGGGGCGAGTGCAAGTACCAAGTACTTTCGCAAGTACCAAGCAAGTACCAAGTACTTTTACAAGTACCAAGCAAGTACCAAGTACTTATGCAAATACCAAGCAAGTACCAAGTACTTTGGCAAATACCGAGTACTTATGCAAATACCAAGCAAGTACCAAGTACTTTGGCAAGTACCGAGTACTTTGGCAAGTACCAAGCAAGTACCAAGTACTTTTGCAAGTTCAACAAGTTTTTCGTGAATATCTAAGCTTCTAGACGTCCGATTAACACGGGACGAACACCAATCGATCCCAAATTTTCTCCCTCATACTTTGATTGCCAAAGCGACGCGGAGCGAGCCAAGATATCTTGTTTAAATATCCATTTGAGTAGGATTTGGCGTTATTTGAAACGCTCAGTTTTTGCAGCGAGCTTTTCCTGTTAGGGCTTGCGAGATAGCTGCGTACACACATATCTCTTCAGCATTGCGCGCCACACAGGAATGCGGCTGATTCACGTGCTTTTGTGAGCGAGGTGCTTCCCTCCGGGAGAAATTCGCCGTCCCCATATGCTTAACACAGAGCCGAGCGGCGGCTGACAGGTGGCCGGCTCTCGGGAGATCGGCAGCCGACACTCGAAAAATCGACAACCCGCCGCTGAATGCGCGTGCGGCAGTGCTGAGCCGAGTCGTTCCCACGGTCTGAGGTACCCCCAGTTTGAAGATTCGGCCTTAGAATATGTAGTTTTAAATACGTAGTTTGACGTACATCTCGTAAAAGTGAGATACGGCCAGAAATGAGTGTGGGTCCCTCCGTTCTGAAGATTCTGATCGACGCCGATTGAAATAATTCGCCGTGCATATCTCGGCTTATTAACGACCGATTGACACGGGATAAACACCGATCGATACCAAATGGCTCTGTGTGTGTGGGGGGGGGGGGAGGGGGGTAGAGTGGCAAGTTTTCCTACCCGACGAACCCGGAATTATCCCGAGGGGGTAGGTGTGGGAGTAGAGTCGGGGGAACGGGGGGGGGGGCGAGTGCAAGTACCAAGTACTTTTGCAAGTACCAAGCAAGTACCAAGTACTTTTACAAGTACCAAGCAAGTACCAAGTACTTATGCAAATAGCAAGCAAGTACCAAGTACTTTGGCAAATACCGAGTACTTATGCAAATACCAAGCAAGTACCAAGTACTTTGGCAAGTACCGAGTACTTTGGCAAGTACCAAGCAAGTACCAAGTACTTTTGCAAGTTCAGCAAGTTTTTCGCCAATATCGAAGCTTCTAGACGTCCGATCGTCACCGGGAAAACACCATTCGATCCCAAATTTTCTCCCGAAGCTTTTTATGGCCAAAGCGACGCGGAGCGAGCCAAGATATCTTGTTTGATATACCATTTGAGTAGGATTTCGGGTTTTTTGAAACGCTCAGTTTTTGCAGCGAGCTTTTCCTGTTAGGGCTTGCGAGATAGCTGCGTACACACATATCTCTTCAGCATTAGACGATGACCAGGAATGCGGCTGATTCACGTGCGATTGTGAGTGAGGTACCCTCAGTTTGAAGATTCGGCTGTAGAATATGTAGTTTTAAATACGTAGTTTGACGTAAATCTCGGAAAAGTGAGATACGGCCAGGAATGAGTGTGGGTACCTCCGTCCTGAAGATTCTGATCGGCGCCGATTGAAATAATTCGCCGTGCATATCTCGGCTTATTGACGACCGAACACCGATCGATACCAAGGCTCTGGGGGGGGGGGATAGAGTGGCAAGCTTTCCTACCCGACGAACCCGGAATTATCCCGAGGGGGTAGGGGTGGGAGTAGAGTCGGGGGAACGGGGGGGGGGGCGAGTGCAAGTACCAAGTACTTTCGCAAGTACCAAGCAAGTACCAAGTACTTTTACAAGTACCAAGCAAGTACCAAGTACTTATGCAAATGCAAAGCAAGTACCAAGTACTTTGGCAAATACCGAGTACTTATGCAAATACCAAGCAAGTACCAAGTACTTTGGCAAGTACCGAGTACTTTGGCAAGTACCAAGCAAGTACCAAGTACTTTTGCAAGTTCAGCAAGTTTTTCGCCAATATCGAAGCTTCTAGACGTCCGATCGTCACCGGAAAAACACCATTCGATCCCAAATTTTCTCCCGAATCTTTTTATGGCCAACGCGACGCGGAGCGAGCCAAGATATCTTGTATTAATTTCAGGTGATCGTCAGACGGAATGAGTTGAAACAGCGCCTATTAGCAATAAAAATGTACCGTCTCTCATGGAAAAATTGTGAAAAGCTAATTGATCAAAAACAATGTGGAAAAAATCGCTGAATTAAATGGTATTTGTCCATAATGTGCCACTAAAAAGTTACACGGGATTTGCTGCTTAACCTGATACGCTTGACAATTGAAAATGCTATCATTAGAAAGAGCATTCAATTCTCTCCAAGATCCAATCATCACGTTTGCATGACAAGCAACAGTATTCTTAAAAATATAAACGTTTTAAACCTCTGCAAAACGATTTTTAGAGAAAATTATCTACGCCTTTCATTTGTCTTAAAACTACGCACCTCAATTATAAAGCACATTTGACAGATTCTGAAGTGGAAAGCATGCTTATCAGACACGGGCACCTCGATGCGGTGGATATTTTTTCCACAAACCAAAACGTTTAGCCGTCAAAAAGCAATCGACCGAAATGGATAGATAACCCAACTGACACAAGAACAACCGAACACCGGCCGCCGATCGAAAATATCCCTTTTCGCGTTGCGGAGCACGCGGGTCACCCTAGTAAGCTTCTATTGTTCATTTAATGGGTCGGAAGCGTCGGGCTTAACCCGCGCCCTATTGGGGTCTGCCGAGGAACGCGCCACGGTCTGGGCAGATACCGAGTGTTCATCTGTCCGTGGGACCGGTGTGTGGGCATGGGCAGATACCCACCGTTCGTCTGTCCACCGGACCGATGTGTGGGTATGGGCAGATACCCACTATTCGTTCGTCTGTCCGTGGGACTGGTGTGGGTACTCACATGGAGTCACGGCCTGAAAGTGTTCGTCTGTCCGTGGGACTGGTGTGGATACTCACATGGAGTCACGGTCTGAGTGTGTTCGTCTGTCCGTGGGACCGGTATGTGGGTACTCACATGGAGTCACGGTCTGAGTGTGTTCGTCTGTCCGTGGGACTGGTGTGGGTACTCACATGGAGTCACGGTCTGAGTGTGTTCGTCTGTCCGTGGGACTGGTGTAGGTACTCACATGGAGTCACGGCCTGGGCGGAGACCGAGATGAGCTGGAGGGCCGCCAGCGCCGCGGCGCAAAGCAGCCGAACGCTGAAACGGAGGGCCAGAACAGTCAGTTTGGGCCTCAGGGACATTGAAACGGTGAGTTAGAACGAACGGTCAGCTAGTGCGCGGAATGCTGAAACGTTCCGAGAATTGGAACAGTCAGTTGGTGCCTCAGGGACATCGAAACGGTGAGTTTAAACGGTCGGTGTAAGAGACAACAAAATGGTGACGGTCAGTTAGTATGTACCATAGGAGATAATAAAATGGTAAGTTTAAAATGGTCAGTCAGTGCAGCAGGGAGTCAGTGGTTCGGTACGCAGGGGACCAGTGCGAACAGATAATACGGTGAGCAATACGAGTTACTCCAGCTAGGGGAACACCGAAACACCGATCAATGAGTTAGGTAAAGGTTAGTAGGGCTAGATACTCTGAAAAGTAGAGTACCGACTACCGACCTAATAAGCCAGCAATGAAGGCAGGTATTGAAAAGACAGTTAACACAGTCAACGCAGCCACTTAAAGAGACATTAACTTTGTAAATGTATTGAATGTCATGCATAGTTCAGCCATGTATATTGTACTTTTTAGGACGGGTCCCAGGAGTTTAACCATTGAAGAGCACCCATATTCTATGCTGTTTGGCATTCAACTCACAGCTGTAAATTTATGATTGTGTGAACCCAGCTGAATAGAAACAAACTCGGCCCGACACTTACGACCGTGCTGGCTAATGTCTTCCCTTCATATACCTGTCGTACGCAATTTATTGGGCACCGTTAGCCTGAGAAATTCTCCATATGACGTTTGACAATGCCGCCCAATAGATGCTCGATACTGTTATGGGCATACATTCGTCGAACAACGCAAACCAACTCGCCAAATACGCCATGACAATGGCTGACAGCGGCTATTATTTTTGTGGCTGCTTTAGTAACTGCAACATATTTATAAATGATCTAAGTGTCCCTTTAACCCTATCTGGGGCAACAGCTCATTGCAACCTCTGCCTATTAGGCATCTGCGAAGATCAAATGCTGTTAAAAAAAAAACTTGGGAACTAAATGGCTTAGGTAGGTATTCAGTATGTGCAAAATGTTACAAATAAGGTACCATATATGTTATATGTTATATGCATTTTACGCAATTTGCCCATGTCTTTCTTTGTTAGAATATGTACCTACGGATGAATTCGAGCTGCCTGATCAAATGCCAATCTACTCCCTCTCTTTCTCTCCCTCCCTCCCTCCCTCTCTCTCTCTCTCTCTCCTCTCCCTCTCCCTCTCCCTCCCTCCCTCTCTCTCTCTCTCTCCCTCTCCCTCTCCCTCCCTCTCTCTCTCTCTCTCTCTCTCTCTCTCTCTCTCTCTCTCTCTCTCTCTCTCTCTCTCTCTCTCTCTCTCTCTCTCTCTCTCTCTCTCTCTCTCTCTCTCTCTCTCTTACTCAATGTTCGTATTTTATACTCGTAAAGTGTGCCTATATACCTAGTCTATCCTACCGAAGAAGGACACAGTACACCTTGCCTGCCGCTGTGGCTGTCATGTACAGGTCTCGCGGGTTTTAGCGGTAGGTTTTGCACCTAGAAAATTTAGTGTAGGTACTTCAGGCTATATCTTCGTTGGCTTTTCAGTGTTGAAGATGCGATCGACTTGTTGCCTGTTGGGTTACAAGCCGGCCATGATCGTGTAAAATGGCTTCATCGTAGATCGATTAGTTTCTGAGATATAACCGGAAATGTAGGGGAAAGTGGGTGTATTGCGCCCTCCTAACCAATTGCGCCCACCAACATTCCCACGGATTCAATGGCATGTTTAGAATTTTGTGTTCGAAAACATTATTTTCACCACTGGATTGTTCATTTTATGGCCCAAACACTCCGATGAAGCCAATCAGCAAGGCTCATTACGCCAACAAAGATGTTATGGCGTTTTCTTAACTTTTTTGCAGCATTTTGAACCGTTGGCTTTAAAAATTTACGATATTTGTGTGATTTTCAGAGTGATATTTAGAAAGAAAAACCCGTTTTTCATTGTATATCACTGAAACCGTAAACTTCCTGCAACATCTTTATGATAACTTCTATGCTTTTGTTAAAAAGTGCCGCAATTTTAATTGCGCCCATGGCGATTGCGCCAGGGGGGCGCAAATAGAATAATGGTGTAGCCATTGTATCACGACAGTATGAATGCATCATTAACTGATTGCAATAAAGAAGGAGTTTAATGTCAGGCAAGGGAGCAGCCCGCTGTCGTCAGTCCGCAAATTATCTCTATCTTCAAACTTATAATGCAGCTGCCATTTAGGCCACGACTTGTGGTGTAATTGACAAAATACGACATTTTCAACATGGACTCAGGCGTGAAAAGTGACAGCTATGATAAAAAAGTAAAAACTGATGTCATTAAGTTGTCAAAACGATAAAAATTATTACTTTTGAGAGAACCGATTGAAAATTTAACTGTATAGGCGCATACGTTCACATATATCTAGTCGGTTACAGTAAACGTTTTCGTTGCACTTTTACAAGCGTACGGACACATGTTAAGTTATCTACCTGGGCAAAAAACATCGCGATTTATATCTACATTTATTATTCATCCAGCCTGAATAACATTATAAATGTTTAAGTAAGCCGCAATGACATTAGACTGCCAGGGTGTATGCATTCCGTCTCATTCACTTAGCCATGTTAAAGTATAGGGCGCAATTGGGTTCTAATTGCGCCATCCCCCTGGCGCAATTTACAGCAGTTGTTGGCAAATGCGCCCTTTTACATGTTTCTGAAAAAGCAGCTGTCAGAAGCAAACGATACATTCTTAATTGATCGGGAGGCTCTTAAATCGTAGCCAATGAGCTCCTCTTTGAAATGGTTACCAGTGCATGCTTATATCTCCAGCGGTTTTCTTGCAATTAGCGTTTTTCCTAAAGGTGGCGCAATTCACCCTCCTTCCCCTAAAAGTGCAAAACCTACCGCTTAATCTCGCGAGACCTGTAGGTACACGTGTTGTAGTATATAGTTTTAGCGCGTGGTAGATATGGATAAAGATTAGACAAAGGGTGGAATAAGAGTCCATTCAAACCCGAAACATCTCATTTAAACGGACATTGTAAAACACGAACATTAGGTAGGTATATTGTGTGTGGTTATCTAAACTCAATTATCCAAGCACCAGCTTATCTCACTAATTATTTTAACCGCAGGCTGTTTGAATTAGACAAACACTATTCGTAAGTACAGCTGGGAAATAGGTATGAATGCAAGCTTACTGCATAGCGATGTCAGTGTATAGGTATATGTACTTGACTACAGAACGATGTAACTTCTCACAGGCGATTACTTGCCTGGAATGGTAGGCTGTGCCGCATTACACAGGCTCGATAGCTCAGATCAATTCTGTGACTCCACGTTCACCAAAGATGCAATCAGTTGTGTGCTAAGCGGTACAGCATAACATTTCAGACAGCTTATTGCCCGTGAGGAGTGAAACGTCATGCTGTAGTCAACTGCACTTCCGACTTACTTTACATACAGTTTTACTCATAGTCACTCGCACGAACATATCAGTTTATGAAATTAATTGGTAGGGCTCTAACGATTAGTTGGAGCATACCAAAACAATTTTTAACATGTACCTCCTAACGTCAAAGCGTTTATGTTAAAATGCATACATTTTTAGTTGGGTTCGTTCGGGCTCTAGCAAGCCAAGCAGGCGCCCGCGCTTATGTACAGAAGACAAGGGCTGCTTTTCAATAGAACAGCACAATCATAATTAGAAGTGTTTTTAATCATTGAACACAAACCTTCGGTTACCATACTAGTAAGAAGTTACATATGCATACGCAGCACCCAAGTGTTTGTATTTTCTCTGGAACTCACCTGCTGCCCATCTCGCTGGCCGGCCGTGCAGCGGGGTCACACGGATCAGACGCGGGTCAGATTCCGGTCAGATGGGGTCAGACAGGGTCAGACGCAGGTCAGACGGATCAGTCTCAGGTCAGCCGCCGGGCCCGGCGGCGGCACGGTACTGAGTACCGACCGACCCAGGCCGGCGGACCGCCGACTCCTTATTGATCACCTCGAGTGTTTCACGCCCCCCCCCCCCCCCCAGTCACGCTGCCCCGGTGCATAGCCCCCCTCCCCCGGCCGCTATTACGGGCATTGTCGCAGTGAAGGCCGGCTAAGCGGGCGGCGTCGGCGGCGTTGGCCGAGCCGCACGCGATGGGATGGCTCCGGAGGTGCAGCCGTTGTCCCGGAGACGGACCAACAGGGAGCGGCCGCAGCGCCGGGGCGTGGGGTCACGCTCAGAGCTGGAACAGTCGGATACTGTGACAGAGGACTCGGGGGTCAAGTGGAGCCCCAAACTCCCAGTCATCTCAGGTCAGGTCACCGGGTCACAAAAACCGGTACAGTCTGGGTAAAACTGGAACAATTTAGCGGCATCGAAATAACTACCTGAGCTTCACGCTGATGGCGTTAAAACGGTGCCACGTAGCGTCACCAAATTTGGGACATATTTCTATGGAACATCTTTTTGACGCATATCAGTGCCTTAACCCTCGCCGGCCGAGGTGGTGCCCCCCCCCCCCATAGGGTTTTTAACTTTTTTTAAAACGGTAGCTCAGGCTAAGCCAAAGAGCTGAAACGTAGCCTTTGATCTAAGTAAGATCTTATGACATCAACCGCATTTTCAGGTCAGGTCAGGTCACTGAACTATGACGTCATAAGTGAACCTCTGCACGGCCATCAGATGTCGCAACTTTGCAACGCCCTCAGTGCCAGAGGAACCAATTCACAAGGTGAAACGTACAGGACGTATTAGCCTGCTGAGGTCTCACAACTTGAATATCTGAGATTTTTCATTAAGGTCGCATGGGCTCAGGTCAAACTATCTCATACCCAAAACTATCTCATGTCATTTATGACGTCACTAGGGTCATAACTCACCAGGTTTCGTCAATAACTCCTGATAAAATTGAGCTAGAGAGTCGAGAAACTCCACCAATCTACTCGGGAAGAGCTGCCAAATCGAATGATATGAGAGATGACCTCCTTCAACCAGCTTCGTGAACTGAGGGGCTCTGATCTGACCTTGACCCAAGGTCATCACCTTAAGCTGATCTCGCCCGAACAAAAAGCATACTATTCGACGTACTTGAGCTAGGTGAACACGATAGTGCCAAAATCGCGGCTCTGCAGCCATTTTGTGCGAAGTTATTTACCAAAAACCAAACCCCTGACTTGGGTCACTTGACCTGACCTCAGAAGTCACCGGTTGACCTGAAACCTTAAAATCGGCCTCGGGTACCAAGTGCTGCGCCTTGTAACGGCGTACACGCTTGTTTTTTTTCTGCGAGGCTCTAGCTCCATTAGAGGCTAAACGGCAAGAGGGGTCGTACCAACCCCCTCGCCCGGGCGTATGTAAAAAAATCAATAGGCCCGGAGAGGGTTAATCAAAATTTTAGAAAGTGCTTTAATGACCCATTAAGTTAAGGGATAGGATGCAGTTGCACACATCTGGAACCCAAGGCAGGCTACGGCTAAATATTGACTCGAGGAATCGATTGACGATTCTAAACATTATTTTGGCGTCAGACGAGGCCTTGAGGCACTTTTGAAACGCCCCGTCTTTTAACCCTAGCGGGCCCGGGGACGTTTTTCGACCCCCTGCCCCCCCCCCCCGTGAATAATGGCAATAGCTCCGAACGCTTAGGGATAGGAAAACGAAACTTCCAGTATCTTTTCCCCCATCAATTAGACGTCTTCTGAAGTAGACATTTTCGACCTATTCCCCTTGATGACGTGACTGCAGGTCGATTTTGCTAGACCTCTGCACGGCAAACTTCGGCGTCATAGACATGAACTTCGAAGTGCTGTCAAAAATAGAGTTTTAGAGATATAGACAAACTACGAGGACGGTTGTGTTGCGTTTGACCTAGGGAATAATAGAGATCAGAGATGAGATCAACGACCGCGAGCTGGGGTTTTAGTTTTCGCAAATAACTTCAACAAAAATAGTCCTAGAGCTACGGCAATAGATGTGCGTGAAGTTATCGTCGTATTCGTTTTCGTTTCCAGCTTCAAGTTCAAAACTTCACCAAATTATTGTTAACCGATAGATCTTGGCACGCTGGTTCCAAAAATATCATTCATTTTAACCTAGATCAAATACTTTGACCTACAGGGGCTAAAAGCCGTTTTTGGACGGGGTACCGGATACAAAGTTTATTTATCGTCCGATCGCGCTCAAAATGCCACCAAACGACGCGCCGTGCCGATAGATAGCCGCACACTCAACAAAATGGCCGATCGAGGCCAAAGGTTAAGATCATATATGCAAAAAAAACATTATTTTTACCTAGATCGGAAATTGTGTTGAGTGTGCGGCTAGCTTTCGTCACGACGCGTCGTTTGGTGGCATTTCGAGCGCGATCGAACGGTAAATAAACTTTTTATCCGGTACCCACTACCCTGTCGAAAAATGTCGTCTTTTTTGCAATTTTTCCATCACCTTAGACTGAGAAATCAGTTAAATATTTCCCACATCCACTCATACTGTATAACTGCTTTGAAGATTTCAGCGATGATGAGAGTGATAAGAGGTGTGCACTGTGCACCGTATGTCTCGAATTTTCGCTAGTGAATCCTATGGTCGGGCCAGTTTGTGACCTTCGTTTTTGGTTTTTAGACACCAGTCTCGGTATCAATGAGATCGCAGAGCAGCGATGTTGAAACAGTTGCGACTCGCATTTTTCCATTTCGGCCGCATCGAATGTGCTTGGATGCAGTTCATCCGGCGTGTTGACCGGAGGTCGAGTTCAAGTTCGTTACTGACAGGTCAGGACATTTGTCCTCATTCTGAATTTAACGGTGTCCAACACCCACTTATTCAAGTTCGGGAGTCTTCGTAGAAAAAAACTATAATGACCTCAAGGTTCAAATGACCTGTGTGCTGTCATATATGACGTAACAAAAGATGCAGGATACAAAAAAGAAGTATCTGGCCCTGAGAACTCCACGTAAGTTACATACATCGCCTGAGAACGACAGTGTTCATCCTCGGCGAAAGCAACGAATCAATATCAGATGAGCTAATCAGAAATAACACTACGCAGTTGCAAACTTTTTTGTCAGCAAGGCGTTTGGCATTTAGCGACTGACGAAAAGGCAGTCAGCTTCAGCTTTAACAACGAAGAAAGACATTGCGAGCCCTGAACTAGGTAACGCACATATTCACTTTTCAAAAACGCGCTCGTAGATACAATGCGTTGGCGTTCATCCCAACTCCTGTGAGCTATGTTATTCGACAGACTACCATCGAAAATATACCATGAAATAAAGGCACTCGAACAACCGTTCTTCAACCCGAAACCCCACCACAAACGCATTTTTTTGCACCTTCTGTATAAAATCCTTTATTTGACGGACGATTAACACTAGCAATGTACAAAACCTAGCATGATGAGATGATGTGGGCCGATGCCCGGGACGGCGACGCGCCGCTCCATACCAATTATTTACCCCACAGACACGGCATACACGTAACGAAAGACTGACTGACACTGGGCACGGCGCCGCGCCCCGGCCCGGCCCGGCCCGGCCGGCGCCGCGGGCTATCACGTACCGACCCGGCCCCATAGCGTGTGTATGTGTGTGTATGTTTGTGATATGCTTAATGAGCGACTGGGCGCCGCGCGGCGGGCGGGCGCCGTTCAAACGCGCGACTCGAGCGGCACCGGCTGCAGCGGCAGCAGGTCGAGCTCCACCAGACAGGAGGCGGGCCGCACGGCCGGCCGGGGCGGACCCGGCGGACCGGCGCGGCTGGCCGCCAGCACCAGACGCACCACCTTGTCAATGTCCTTGGAGCCGCCGACCGTGTGGCGGCGCTTGAGCGCGCGCGGCGAGCCGGGAGCGGCGCGCGCAGAGCGCGGCGTCTCGCGCTGCTCGAACTGGTCGCATAGCTGGCGGATGGAGCGCTTCATGGTCTTCTTGGTGAGCTCGGCGGGCGCCGGGCGAGGCGCGGAGCGGACAGTGGGTGCGGCCGGCGCCGACCGCTCGCCGCCAGCCGAACCGTTCATCATCTGCGGGTGAACGGAGAGGGAGAGAGCGGTCAGACAAACCGGCAGGGAGCGCGGGCAGAGGGAGAGAGGGCTGGGATGACCCGACGAAGTGGACGACAGACACAAACCACCCGCAGGCACTAGCACAGGAAGCATAGTGTTTCAACTTGACAAAGCCATACAAGAATGCACCTAAATATACATACTCGTAATGGTATAAGCCAAGAACTAGGATATCCGAGGCAGGGGCCCGGGAACGATTTTCAAGTTGGGGGGGCGAGCCAAAAATACCTGACAGATGCATATGAAACAGTGGCGTTGCTAGAGGTCTAAGGGGACACGTACCCCCCCCCCCCCCCACACACACACACACACCGGGTTCAAAGGGACCCTCGGGTCCGAGAGGCCCTGCGGCGCCATTTGACTGCTGAGGGTTAACGATGGCCATATTTCGACTCAGAATGGCCCCATTGGGCTCGTTAGAGCACTTCATGGGCCCTAAATAGCCACACTAAGATCTCCATAAGGGCCCCACACCGGCTTCTGAGGGCCTCTTGCGGCCTTTAAGGGCCCCTCGGTGGTCTCCAAAGGCCCGTTACAGGCCTCTGAGAGTTCTTACCGGCCTATGAGGGGCCAGTTCTAGGGGCATTTCCCGCCTGTGATGGTCCCACACTTATTTTTCTGAGGGCGCCATAACGGCAACTGTGGGGGCCCTCATTGGCGCCTATGAGGGCCCACACCGGTGTCTCTGAAGGTTTCACACCCCAACTCTGAGTGCCTACACCAGTGGCCAGTGCCTATTAAAGCCCAATATCGGCGACCCTGAGGACCCAACCAGCACCTGTGCATCTAAAGGCCACCCACTGGTGACTTTTGAGGGCCCCACACCGGTGACTCTGGTCTCTGAGGGCCCCACCGGCGTCTGACAGTAGGTACCATTCCGGTCTCTAAGGACCCCACATTACTTTTTCTGCCGGCCTAAGGGCCACTTGCCGGTCACTGAGACCTCCTGCCGGCTTATAGAGGGTTCGCGTCAGCAGCTCGCCTCTAAGGGCCCCACACCCGTCTGTAACGGCTCCACAGCAGCGTCTATGAGGGCCCACAGCAACGCCTGTAAGGACCCTCACCGGCGCCTCTGAGGGAATCACACTAGCACCTCTGAGCGCCCACACCGGCACCTGCATGCGCGGCCCCACACCAGTGCCTCTAAAGGCCCCTTACCGGCGGCTCTGAGGGCCCTACGCTGGTGATTCTGAGGGTGCTACCGGTAACTGAAGGCACCACATAAGTCCTTAGTGTCGCTGTGCTTTAATCCCATACCGGCCCTCCAAGGGCGCCACGTCAGTGCACGGCATTGCCCCACACCCATCCCTCACACCCGGAGCGGGTTAACTGTGATATACCTATAGCGCCTATAGCAACGATTTTACCACCGTTGTGCTTTACGTATTTCTCAAAGTTGACTCAAAATGGTCCAGTATAAAATCTGGACTGCCAAACTTATGGCCAAGGTCAGGCCCAAACCAAAGCGGGATGACAATAGCATGTTGTCAAATCGATACTGTATCAGCAGAAACCATTCAGATGGCAAGGTAAAATGCCGTGTGTTGATGTTTAGTTGTATAAAGGAAACAAGAAGGAATGAAGTTCGAAAAAGGGAGGAAAGATCCTTTCTCGCTGCATCAATGTTGAGGGGGCGCCGCCCCCTCGGCTCTCAAGTTGGGGGGGCAAGCGCCCCCGCTGCCCCCCCTGTTCCCGGGTCTATGATCCGAGGTGACAGCTACTTTCGTTTCCACTGTCAATCGACTTCCGACCGCCAGTATTACGCGCAGCGCCCGTTCTCTGCCCGCCCCAGGTCTCTCCGTATGTGTTCGTCGGGCTGTCTGACCCCGTGTGTCTGTCGGCTCGGTTGGCTAGGTGTGTATATTTGTCTGTATGTGTCCCGTGTGTGCGTGCTTCTGTCCGTTATTTGTTTATTGGGGCTTTAGGGCGCGCCGACTACTGAGGTCATTTTGCGCCCAGTCCGTGTGCGTTGGTGTCTATGTGTGTCTGTCTGTGTTGGCTAACCTGGAGCTGGCTGCTGGCGCTGTAGCTGCGGTGCAGGCTCGGGTCGCGGTGTCTGTGTGTCTGTGTCTGTGTCTGTGTGTCTGTGTGTCTGTGTCTGTCTATCTGTGTGTGTCTGCTGACCTGGAGCTGGCTGCTGGCGCTGTAGCTGCGGTGCAGGCTCGGGTCGCGGTAACTGTGTGTCTGTGTGTCTGTGTCTGTGTGTCTGTGTCTGTGTGTCTGTGTCTGTGTGTCTGTATGTCTGTGTCTGTGTCTGTGTGTCTGTGTGTCTGTGTATCTGTGTCTGTGTGTCTGTGTGCTGACCTGGAGCTGGCTGCTGGCGCTGTAGCTGCGGTGCAGGCTCGGGTCGCGGTGTCTGTGTGTCTGTGCCTGTGTGTCTGTGTCTGTGTCTGTATTTGCCCCAGTCTATCTGTGTGTGTCTGCTGACCTGGAGCTGGCTGCTGGCGCTGTAGCTGCGGTGCAGGCTCGGGTCGCGGTGTCTGTGTGTCTGTGTCTGTGTCTGTATGTCTGTGTCTGGGTCTGTGTGTCTGTCTGTCTGTGTGTCTGCTGACCTGGAGCTGGCTGCTGGCGCTGTAGCTGCGGTGCAGGCTCGGGTCGCGGTGTCTGTGTGTCTGTGTCTGTGTCTCTGTGTGTGTCTGTGTCTGTATGTCTGTGTCTGGGTCTGTGTGTCTGTCTGTCTGTGTGTCAGTGTGCTGACCTGGAGCTGGCTGCTGGCGCTGTAGCTGCGGTGCAGGCTCGGGTCACCGTGTGTGTGTCTGTGTCTGTGTGTCTGTGTCTGTGTGTCTGTGTCTGTGTGTCTGTGTCTGTGTGTCTGTGTCTGTGTGTCTGTGTCTGTGTGTCTGTGTCTGTGTCTGTGTCTGTGTGTCTGTGTGTCTGTATGTCTGTGTCTGTGTGTCTGTGTCTGTGTGTCTGTGTCTCTGTGTGTCTGTGTTGTGTCTGTGTGTCTGTGTCTGTGTGTCTGTGTCTGTGTGTCTGTGTGTCTGTGTCTGTGTGCCTGTGTGTCTGAGTCTGTGTGTCTGTGTGTCTGTGTGTCTGTGTGTCTGTGTCTGTGTGTCTGTGTCTGTGTGTCTGTGTGTCTGTGTCTGTGTGTCTGTGTGTCTGTGTCTGTGTGTCTGTGTCTGTGTGTCTGTGTCTGTGTGCCTGTGTGTCTGTGTCTGTGTGTCTATGTGTCTGTGTGTCTGTGTGTCTGTGTCTGTGTGTCTGTGTCTGTGTCTGTGTCTGTGTCTGTGTGCCTGAGTCTGTGTGTCTGTGTCTGTGTCTGTGTCTGTGTCTGTGTGCCTGTGTGTCTGAGTCTGTGTGTCTGTGTCTGTGCCTGTATGTGCCCCTGTCTGTGTGTCAGTGTGCTGACCTGGAGCTGGCTGCTGGCGCTGTAGGATTCCCGGATGAAAAGTCAAAACGTTAAAAGTAAACGGATAAAAAGTCAAAGGACATTAAGTCAACAGACAGAAAGTCAACATCGCAAGAAGTCAAAGGACAAAATGTCAAATGAACAAAAAGTCAACCTGCCAAAAAGTCAACACGCCAGAAGTCAACAAGCTAAAAGTCAACACGCAAGAAGTCAAAAGACATAATGTCAAAGAGACAAAAAGCCGACATGTCAAAAAGTCAACGCCCTAAAAGTCAACACGCTAAAAGTCAACACGCATAAAGTCAACACGCAAAAAGTCAAGACGCTAAAAGTCAACACGCCTAAAAGTCAACACGCTAAAAGTCAACACGCTAAAAGTCAACACGCGAAAGGTCAGCATGCTAAAAGTCAACACGCTAAAAGTCAACATGCTTAAAAGTCAACACGCTAAAAGTCAACACACAAAAAGTCAACAAGCAAATAGTTTATAGGTGCGCGAAAAGTTGATGCGCAAAATGTAGTCAACAGCAAAAAGTAGTCTTCAACAGCAGTCGTTAACTAAGTCGGTACAAGTACGCCGCAGCCCGCGTCTCCGGTCGGCGACTGACCCGCGCCGGGCCACCTGATCCCCGGCCGCCGCCCGCTGGGCGCCGGCTGCACCGCATAGAGAGTCTCGGCGCGTCCCCGTGCGTGCCCCGACACTACCGATAAGAACGCTCCTACCTATTTTTACTTTGCTTTAAAAAGTATATTGGGAATGTGAACTTATCTATATAAAGTTGGCGTACTGTGCCTGCTGGTGGCGGGGGGGGGGGGGGGCAGTTCCGATAAGGAGACGTAGGGCGGAGGCGAAGATGAAGGAGAGGGACAGTAACTGGTGGCCACAATGCGCTATACTTGTCACATCTCTTTGGACGTCACAGCTCCGAGGTCCTAAAAAATTGTGTTTTTAGCAATCGCATCTCGATAACTTAATTGACCTATACATTTCGATGAAAATTGGTCACCTTAATTGTATGCAGTCCGTACCTTTCGATGAAAATTGGTCACCTTAATTGTATGCAGTCCGTGAATATTAACAGGTTGTTGTCTGTTGATGCTGATATGAGCGTTCCTTTCAAGGCAGGACAATCCGACAATTACACCATTGCCTCTCGTTCCAACTTCCACCTATTTAAAAGAAATTTGTTTTGTTTGGTTAATGGTTGGGTTAGGCCCTTTCGGTCCAATTAGACCATTTCAGAGCCGGAAGGATGATAGGAATTAGGGGGAGACATTGGTCTGGGCAGGCATCCTAGTGAGTCACCGGGGCTGAGCCCATCCCGAAGGACAGGCCGATCAGCCCCAAGGTACTCACTGCACCCGGCTACGGGGTGCGCTCCCTCGGGAGCAGCGGTGCCGCTCCAGCAGCCCGCATGAGATAAAGTTGCCTGTCCAACCCGGAGGGGTTTGCGGCGTGGAGAAGGATTTCCGTATCCTGAGGATAGAAGCATGGAACGGTGATTTAACCCTATTCCTGGCGGGGGGGGGCCTCAGGAGCCCCCCCCCCTGAGGTTTTTTGGTTATTTCTCCCAAACGCGTTGAGCTAGGAAGCTCAAATTTTCTGACTTTTCCTAAAAGGCTTCTACGCAACATGTCTGAAAATTTTGAGTTGATCTGACCTCAGGTCAGGTCACCAGAGGCGGTTTGGTGACCCTACCTCAGAAAAGTTTGCAATCACGCCAGAGCTAGAGTTTTTGACCGATCAATTTCTTCTCTTCAGGGTTTAGTTAGGGTACCAGTATGTGCAATTTGTATATCTCGGAATTTTGATATCGGTGACCTAAGGTCAGGTCAATTTCGCGACCTCCCCATTATAAGTCAATGGGGGAAAAATCAACTCCCTGTTTTTACCACTAAAACGGGTCGGAATGGCCCCATATACCATATATGACTTCATATACGATCAACCTTCACTACCTTGAGGTCTATTTTGCTGTTGGGCAGCTGTGAGGTCATGTGACGTCATCAAAGGTCACCAAAGGTTTTTGGCCAATAACTCCGTACAGGAACAAGATACAGACGCGTGGATGGTCTCATTGTGTTCAGCTCGTCAAGACGCATCGAATGATATACATGATGACCTCGAGGTCACGTGACCTGAGGTCAACCTTTGACCTTGACCTTTCGAGGTCAACATATATATCATTCGATGCGGATTGACGAGAGGATCACGATGATGCCCTTAGTTTGTTCCTATCTTGACTAATTCGAAAGTTATTCGAGAAAAACTCTCCATATCTAGCGTCGCCATTTTGACTTTTTCGACCCCTGTGACGTCATCTTTGACCTGACCTGAAAATGACCTTAATAAAAATTGTAGATCTTGGCCGTGCGTATCCGATGCCGTTTACCGCTTGTCGCTATCTTGCTTCGTTCTCGAGATCTCAGGGGGGGGGGCCGAATCGGCCCCCCCCGCCAGTTTCTTGTCCCGGCGGAGCCCGCCAGGAATAGGGTTAAAAGAAACGACGCGCTTTACTATTGTGCCAATTGTACCATACAATACGCTTGAACTATAATAAAAGTGTGAAATCGCTAATAGAACCCGTGACGGAATCAATTGATGAGAAACGTCTCCCTACACAATATAGGAAATTTGAACAAGCGAAACTTTTCGTATCGATAACATTCCGGGCTACTATATTTGTTGAAATAATTCCAGTAAACTGCGCCTGGGACAGTCAGTTGTCTCGAAGGATCATGTAACGCTGCCTCATGACAACCTTACGATGCGAGCGAGCTCGCACCTAGCACGTGTCAACGGATGTGTGTCAGATTTCAGCCAAGCATGCCCGTGTGACCAGCTGAGTCGCGGTTGCGGGCCATGGGAATCCCCATCAGTCGTGCAATGGAGGCAGTCTCGCTTCAATGTCCAATGATGCAGGTTATATTGTGCAGCATCCTGCTTAATTGTGTACAGCTGTTTGTAAATGTTATCTCATGTATGTAATGACTGATGATCCAGGTGTCATTGACTTTGTCTCTTTGACTTGTCCTTTTGAGTTTTTGGATTTTGGCTTTTTGTCCTTTGGATTTTTTCGTAATTTGACTTTATGTTCTGTTGACTTTTCGTCTTTTGACCTTTGTCCTCTTCACTTTTTGTCCTTTTGACTTTTTGTCCCTTTGATTTTTTGTCCTTTTGACTTTTTGGACTTTGACTATATGTCTTTTTGACTTTTTGAACTTTTGACTTTTTATTTTGACTTCATGCCCGGTTGACTTGTTGTTTTTTGACTTTTTGTCCTTATGACTTTCTGTCCTTTTGGTTTTTTGGATTTTGACTTTATGTCCTGTTCACTTTTTGTCTTTCGACTTTTGTTCTTTTTACTTTTTGGCAATTTGACTTTTTGCCGTTTTTACTTTTTGTCTTTTGACCTTATGTCCATTTGACTTTTTGTCTTTTGACTTCTATGCTAGTTGGCTTTTTGTTCATTGACTTTTTGGCAATTTCACTTTTTATCTTTTGACGTTTTATCCTTTTTGACTTTTTGACTTTTGACTTTCCTCTTTGTTGACCTTTTACCTGTTGACTTTTAAGATTTTTGACTTCGTGCTTTTGACGTAATGTCTGTTGACTAATCATCCTTTTACCTTTTATCATTTGACTTTTTGTCCGGAACCCCGCTGTAGATGCGGTGCAGGCTCGGGTCACCGTGTGTGTGTCTGTGTCTGTGTGTCTGTGTCTGTGTCTGTGTCTGTGTGTGTCTGCTGACCTGGAGCTGGCTGCTGGCGCTGCAGCTGCGGTGCAGGCTCGGGTCGCGGTGTCTGTGTGTCTGTGTCTGTGTGTCTGTGTCTGTGTGTCTGTGTCTGTGTGTCTGTGTCTGTGTGTCTGTGTCTGTGTCTGTGTGTCTGTGTCTGTGTCTGTGTGTCTGTGTCTGTATGTGCCCCTGTCTGTGTGTCTGTGTGCTGACCTGGAGCTGGCTGCTGGCGCTGTAGCTGCGGTGCAGGCTCGGGTCGCGGTGTCTGTGTGTCTGTTGTGTCTGAGTCTGTGTCTCTGTGTGTGTCTGTGTCTGTATGTCTGTGTCTGTGTCTGTGTCTGTGTGTCTGTGTCGGCTGACCTGGAGCTGACTGCTGGCGCTGTAGCTGCGGTGCAGGCTCGGGTCGCGGTGACTGTGTCTCTGTGTCTGTGTCCGTGTGTCTGTGTCTATGTCTGTGTCTCTGTGTATGTCTGTGTGTCTGTGTTGGCTAACCTGGAGCTGGCTGCTGGCGCTGTAGCTGCGGTGCAGGCTCGGGTCGCGGTGTCTGTGTGTCTGTGTCTGTGTGTCTGTGTGTCTGTGTCTGTGTGTCGGCTGACCTGGAGCTGGCTGCTAGCGCTGTAGCTGCGGTGCAGGCTCGGGTCGCGGTACATATCATTGCTGCGCGCCGCGCGCTGTTCACTGGGCGCCGTCCGGCCGCCGAGCGCCTGCAGCTTCTGGTCGAGCGTCTGCACCAGCGAGGCCACCATGTCGCAGCTCTCGTGGGCGGCCAGCGGGTCGGCGTCGGCCGCGTCGGCCGCCGGCGTCGGTGGCGGCGGGCCGGCCGAGACGACAGGCGCCGGGGACACGGCGGCACTCTCGTCAGCCGAGGAGCTCTGCGGGCAGCGGCAAGCGGCGCCGTTAGAAACGGGCTACCCACACTACGAGACCAGAACGGCTCCACAGGCCCGGCGTATAGAACGAAATGACATCGGCGAGCCGACCGTCTTACATTTAGACACAGTTGCGTTTCTAAGGTTGATCATCCGCATTTCAATGTCTGTCAGTAACTGGAAACTGGTTTTCTGCAGCGACTGAAACCGTTATCAACTACAACAATCCAAGCGTTTAGCGTTTTCCCTGACGCTCTGTCATATCCTACCCTCCCCAAACAGCCCCGCCCGCAGACGGCTGCGCGCGCCGCTCCTCACCTCGTCTCTGGACGTGGAGCCGCCGCGGTGCGCCGCCGGCCGCGCCTTCAGGGCCATCTCGGAGCGCTTCAGCTCCACCTTCCTGGTCTGCGAGGCGGTCAGGTCCTCCGCCGAGCCGCGCCGCCGCGCCGGCCGCGGTGACCGGTACAGCCGGCCGCTGGCCGCCAGCCACCGGGACCGCTCGCCCGACTCGGAGGCGCGCCGCGGCTCGCGGGGCGCCGCGCCGCTCTCGGCGGAGGCAGGCGGCGCCGGCGGGGCGGCCGGCGGCGCGGCGGGCCGCAGCGGCAGAGAGTCGGCGCGCGCCCGGCTCGGCCGCGGCCCCGTGCCGGCCGACGACATGGTCGAGTAGCCGGAGCTGACCGTGTCCCAGGCGGACGGCGGCCGCCGCTCGGCGCTCTCGGAGGCCAGAGACAGCCGCTCGTCCCGGTCGGCAGAGTCGGCGGCGGCGGCGGCAGCCGTGATGGCCGCAGACGGAGTCAGGCCCGGCAGCTTGGTGGACAGCTCGGCAATCCGCCGCGCCACCACTGCGAACGGCACGCTCCGGTCAGCGGGGGGACGGAGCACACACCGGCGGAGACCGGGCAGTGGGCCGGGGACGGTCAGAGGCCTCTGCGCCACACACACAGAGCGGGCAGCCGGTGGTACTACTCAGAGGCCGCCAGCCGCCGCGGCCGATACCAGGTCCACTGCGGAGCCTGATGTTCAGACACGCAAAAATATCGTCCGTGTGGCGCTACGAATCTAATCTGACGTTGTAAGAATAAACCCCCGGTCAAAAAGCTAGGTTTGAAAGAAAACTGGGCCAAGCTGTCACTATTCTGGGTCGAGCGGTGCTTTATACGAATAATTTACGCTGTCGTGCAGCCGAATACGGTTTATGGACAACACTTGAGCAGTTGACATTTAGCCGACAGTAGCTAAGACGCTGTCTTAACTCGCGAGGGGATACTTAGGACTGCTTCACTCGGACGAATACTGGTACTGGTATTTCTTGGAAAAGACAGCAAGTGTGGCTAGTTAGTACGTACTGAGCTATTAAAACACCACTAGAGCTGATAAATAATGCATAACAATGTCAAGAAAAGTACATAATGCACAATACGTCACCCACGAAAAACTTGTTAGTCAATGTCACACCGTTAGCTTATTGAATGTACTGGCAATAGTGAACCACTACATTAAGGTCCGTGTGCATTTCAGACACCACGGAAGCACGCGGGCACCGCTAAGACGTGTAAGCGTTAGTAAACAAACCACTCCCGGACAGACGGTTACAAAAAACACGCCCCGAAAACCCGACGGGTCACACGAGAGGGACGCGGCGCTGTGTTCCGCCGTGGCACGACGTTAGCCCCCAGGACCCGGCACGCTGCTCCCCTACAGAGCGCACGCCATTGAGAGGGAGGGGGCACACACACGACACAGTGCACATGCGCACATCCTGCGAGATGACGTCACCTGGGCGCAGACAGCGCAACCGACGGCGCGCGGCAGCCGCCGCTATCCGCTAAAGGGATACCAAACGCCTACGGGGCACAGAGGGGGACAGGCTAGGAGCGAGCCAGCGGCAGAGCGACGACTGCGCCCAAACGGCGACAGAAGACAAAAGTGACAAAGCCGGAGAAGATTGGATGATTCAGATTCGCGCGTTTGAGTAATTGTATTGTAAGCATGGTGATGTTGGTTATTGTTGAGGTTTCGTTTGTAGCTGGTAAGACAAATATCGACTGTCAAATAAACGAGACTGGCACTTGGAAGAGACATTCTCAAGTTTCATCTACAAATATTACTGAACAACTCAGCACCCTGTAAAACATGACACACATCTTGCGACCCGCCAATAAAGTAGTATCCACAACCAAAATCAGGCGTACGGCACCTCCACCTGACGGCCTGAAGCTGTTAGCTGACCGAGTGCGACCACTGCCCAGCGCGGCGCCCTGCCCGGTGAGCTGCAGCCCCCACCCGTCCCCTCCGTTCGTCCCCCTGAGCGCTCCTACCTGCCGGGTTGTCGGCCAGCTCGTCGAGGAAGTCCGGGTGCTCCAGGTCCTGTTTTGCGCGCGCCCACTCGCGCTCTATCCGCTGCCGCTGCAGGTCCAGGTCGCGCGCCTCACGCTCCCGCAGCTTGTCCCTGCACACAGGGACACGGTCAGCTCAGGTCAGGTCACCGCTCATGTTCCACAGTGCTTGACTCGGATCCGGGGATGTCACACAAAATATACGTTAGAACGGACACTTCAGTCAGCTAGACAATGACGAATTATCAGAGTTGAAAGCCATAGTTGTGTCAATCAATTGGCTTAAATCATACAAGAAAACGCCACGTAGTGAATTTCATGAGAACTACGAATACCACCGAAACAAATATCACCAGCTCTCGGCACCACTCTAACGCTCCAGTCTGCAGCGACCCATCGACCGCTCGCCCTCCTCCCTCTATCCGTATCATTCCTCTGTCTACCATTCCCTTCTCTGCCCTCCCTTCCAGTCAGCCTGCACCCCCGCGCGCGCCCAGCCGGCGGCGGCGGCACGCGTCGCTCACCTCTGCAGCATGGCTCGCGTCTCCTCCTCGAACCGTCGTATCCGCTCCTGTGTGGTCTCCGAGAGGCCGGCGTAGCTGCGAATGGCCGTGTCGTCCTGGACGGCGGGTTCGGTCACCGGCAGAGACGGCGCCGACGCCGACTCCGAGCTGACCGCGGCGGGACAGGCGGGTCAGTCAGCGGCGCGGGAGGGGACGAGCGGCGACCGGCGCGGCGGGAGATGGTGTGGTGGCGCGACTGGAGGGGGGTCGTATGCAACCGCGCCTCGATGCACACTCAAAGCAAGAAACAATGGGCAGAAAAGTGTACTAATCATCACGCACTCAAAACCTTACAAATTATCAAATCGATAACTTTTTCACGGATCCGCCCCGTGACTGTCCCATACCCGCCCATACCATACCATGATATGGTATACCATGAGCCCATACCCGCGACGCGGACCGCTGCAGTCTCAGATCTATGTCAGAGTTTTTGTCAGTGTCAGAGCCGTGCCCGACCACCTCAGTGTCAGTGTCAGCCCGTCCCAGTGTCAGTGTCCGTTCGTGTCAGCCCGTGTCGGCCGCCCTCACCTGAGTCGCTGACGGGCGGCGCTCAGCGCAGAGCCGGGTACCGCTGCCGCCGGGGCGGGGGCGGCGGCGGCGGCGGGCGCCTCCTCCACCAGCCGTATGGGAATGACGTGCACGCGGTGGGCGGGCCCGCCGGCGGCGGCGGCGGCGGGGGCGGTCTCAGCTGCGCCAGCTCCGTACAAGGACGAAGGTGCCGGCTTTAGCTGGTTGTTGTTGCACTCGGAGGGTCGCCCGACGAGGGACGGCGCCGCCTGCGCGCACGAGGACGACCGTCACGCTCCGAACTCATCAAACGCAATGACACACAGTCAGCACTCACGAAATCTCACACTCCACACTCCAGTCCACCATGAAATATGAATGCTCTTATCCGTTAGATGATACAAACATGTCACTGACAGCTGCTGTGGACAGCACGAATGTCGGCGCCGTCCTAAACGGGGCTTCATTAGGGCTATCGGAGGATAGGCGAGGCAAGGCACACAGGATCAAGTTCACGGGTGGAGAATTGTGCTGGACTGGGGGTGCTCGAGCTCTCCCAATTCCACGCCGGCTTGGCTTTGGAGCCGCGGCAGGCGGCGGAGGTCAAGGTCACCGCTAGGCGGCGGCGGATTTGCTGCGCCCGAGCACCCCCGCCTGACCACAATTCTCCACCTATGATCAAGTTGTTGCTGACTAGCGTATGCACGCGAATCACTACTAATGTAAGGAAAGATGCATAAAATCTGACACAAAAATGTCGATCAACTGCTGCTGGTCGTGACAGAGTTATGTGGCGCGGTACGTGTGGGGTCGGCGGAGGGCCGAGCCCAGCTGTGTTGACCAGTACCGTGTCCCGCGGTCAGTTCTCGGGACGCGGTGTGTCCCTCAGCGCCGGTCAGGGCGACCCATCCGTACGTACCGACACCTCGGAGCCGGTCTCGTCGCGCTCCGAGCGGCTGTCCTGCTGCTGCACCTTCCGGCTGGCGGCCGATATGATACTGCTCACTAGCTCCTTGTGGTGGCCGTCTGGGGAGCATGGCCGGCCGCTCAGCCCCCTCCCACACACACACACACACAGACAGACACGCGCGGTCGGGGGACTCAGCTACCGACAAAAATACCGCCGGGACGCGGAAAAAAAGGACGGACCGGCCGGCAACCAGACAATATCAGCACAGGGAGCAGACTAACAGGCTCAGACTGTAATGGATGTTACTATAAACAGACGATCCAATGTGCAGATAAAACGACCTCATATGTCTATTTCGCGACCGCATGTCAATCTCATCAATCGAAAGAACGATATTGGGCTTACGGAAAAAATCACGGCTTCCAAAAATATCACGCACTCTGATAATCCAATTCCTCGTTCTGCTCCAGACACAAAACTAATAATCTACATTCAATTGTAGCTGATGCTGTAACTATACACTATCGACCAGACTTCGTCCATCCTATCGATCACACCTAGCTACGCCTCTAACATCTATCCCCGTCACCTCTACCCCACTCCTCCCCCCGCACCCTCCCACTGCTCTCTCCCCGCTCGCCACTCACTGTCGAGCCGATGCGCGGTGCTGAAGAGGGGCGGCGCGTGGCGCGCCGGTCCGTCCAGGATCTCGGCCGACAGAGGCGGCGAGCTCTCCGGCAGCGGCGGCGGCTGGTCGTCGCCAGTCTCGTCCGCCTCCTCCGGCGGGAAGTAGTAGTCCAGCTGGTAGGGGGAGGGGCGGGACGGTCACACACGGGCCCGACCGCTCCCGACAGTAGCTGCTGACCGGCCTCACTACTTGGAACACGCTAATGAACACGCCTGGGTGTCCTGTAAGCTATCATTGTTTCGCTCGTGTGCTCATGCTACGAATATTACAGAGAAGCCTTTTAAGTACACCATCCCGCTCCCAATCTAATAACAGTCTTCCTAGTCGGTCACAAAAATACTCAATTTGACATTTAACACTCAATACGCAGCCACATTTTACACCACCCCATTTCAGATGATTCAACTCTACCGTCCATTTCTTCTCGTCCCGCCGAGTCTCTAATCCCGCGCCCCCTCCCTCCCCCGGTCCCCTCCCTCCTCCAGGTCCCCGCGCCCCCTCCTCCCTCCAGTCCCTCCTCCCTCCCCCGGTCCCCTCCCCCTCCCGGTCTGCCCCCTCCCTCCCTCCCCCCGGTCCCCGCGCGCCGCCTCTGACCTCACTGATGAGCGTCTTGACGATGCCGCACTGCTGCGACATGTCGGTGACCAGCGCCGTCGTGCTGTCGTCCGACGAGCGCACCAGCGTCGGCCCGAACACGATGGCCAGGTTCTTCAGGTCCATCTTGTTGTTATTGGCCGGGTCGGTGACGCGCCGCAGGTGCCGCAGCAGGTGTTTGAGCGTCTCGTAGTTGTGGTCGGGCAGCCGGTTCACCTGGCGGAAGGGCGGACACACAGACCGGTGGTCAGAAACGGTCAACGGGTGTCGTGGCTGAACCGCAAGAGGCAAGGAAAGACAACAGTAACTCACAGGTTAACGGGCAGCGAAATGCTCATTCTAAGTACTTTTTATTAAATGCTCAATGCTAAGTCTGCCGCTCATTCGAAGCACACACCACCGTGGCGAACTCAATATGTCCGCCCGCCCTGCCGAGTCGCGGCCCGTCCTGCGGCCCCGGTCGGCCCGCGCGCACCGCACCACTCACCAGCTCCCTGAGGAGATGCCGCCGCCGCTCGGGGTCCTCGATCTTGCTGGTGTCGATGAACTTGGGGTAGAGCTCGCTGGTGACCAGCGAGTCGGGTAGCTGGCGCAGGAACAGCTTCAGCAGCGACGAGATCACGTTGACGTCTGTCCAGCGCGGGTCAGCCTGGGTTGACAAAGGTCAGACCAGGTCAGGGCACCGCACCATGAGGTCAACAGAGGTCAGAGGTCAGCTCAGGTCAGGTCAGCACACACTGAGACTAGCGCGGGTCAGCCTGGGTTAGCAGAGGTCAGACCAGGTCAGGGAGCCACACCATGAGGTCAACAGAGGTCAGAGGTCAGACCAGGTCAGGCCACCGCACCATGAGGTCAACAGAGGTCAGAGGTCAGCTCAGGTCAGGGCACCGTACAATGAGACTGGTTATCATATTGCAATGCCACGTTCTATTCCATCTGAGGACCACAACATTCATAGGCGGCAGGCTATTCAGTTTCCTCGGCGCTGACGCTCGACGATTCATCGTACAACGTAATGTTATTCTGTAGTCAGGAGTCACACATTAATGTCATCTCAGGCCCCACGTCACTCGGGCGATAAAGGTTTCACTCTTGGAACACCGAGTGAAAAACGTCATACGCCCATAATCAGCCAGGTATTGGAGTACTGCAATCACTCAAACGGCAAAGTTCGGCGGAATGAGGCGCCACCCTCCGCGGCATTCTCAATGTGCCCCGACCCGAAGCAAACATCGCATGAATACACTCTTATCAGTCGCTCTCGAGTCGGCGACCGCCCATGACAATGTCCATAATGTCCAATAAATAACCCCTGTCGCATGGGACGGCCGCCCGATATGGAGTCGGCGCATCCCCAGCTGTCACACCGACCACGACGCCGCTCGGTCATAGAACACCGTTCGACGAACGGCAGGAAAGGAGCGGCACCTCACCGGGTCCCGCGGTCCCGCGGTGGGGACCGCGCCACTCCGCGGTCCTAAGGAGAGGACCACATCCCTCCGAGGTCTCATCAGAGGACCACGCCGACCGAGTGTCCCTGGCGAGTACCGACACAGCCCCCCCCCCCCCCCTGGTCTGCACCAGCAGCGCTGACCTGCAGGTCCACTTCGTAGATGCCGCGGTTGACGGCCGCCGACAGGCTCTTGATAGCAGCGTTGTTTCCCGGCACGCGGTAGATGCCCTCCGAGTCGAGGCCGCGCTTCTCGACCAGCCCAGTGCACAGCTCCACGATCCGTGGCACGAACGGGTTCGACTCGCTCTGCGGGCACGCAGGTCACCGACGGTCAGCCAGAGGTCAGACGGGGTCAGCCTGAGGTCACGGAGGGTCAGTCAGAGGTCACCGAGGGTCAGTCAGAGGACTCAGAGGGTCAGTCAGAGGTCACAGACGGTCAGTCAGGTCACGAAGAAAAACTGCAAGGTCACTTATACTACGCCAGGCGTCACGCGTCACGTGGCACCAAATCACTGCCAGGCCAGAATGCGTGACATCTTGCGCATTTCTATGAAATCAGAGTATTGCTTTGTGGAACATAAACATAAAAAAGCTTTACCCCAGGGAGCAAAGCAATTCTCTCAATGGAAATGGAAAGAGAGACTCGTCAAACCTTAAGCGTGGGAGAGGACGCTCATCATATCCACAAGGAGGGCCCCTAACAACTCTATAATTGATGTGGCACGCAACACGTCACCTCAGGTGCTGCTAATACCACAAACCGTCATATTTAACGAGACACCCGTCAAAACAGTGACAATCAGCCACAGCAGGTATGTCGCCGATCCGAGTTACTAATCACAGGGTGTGTGGCGGCTATCCTCGGGACGGAGACGGTGCCGGAAAGGAGTGCCGCCTAACAGAGGTCTTAGCGCCACAACAGGTGTCTATCTGATCCGTGAATCCCCCCCCCCCCCGAGTGTCTTCCAAGTGGCTGAGATAAGACCAGGTAAATTGATCATCGTAATCACCTACCTTCAGCTTGAGTGACAACTGCTAACAATGTTCAATTATCTCAAAATAAGACACCTGTAGTCAGCTGAGGGCTTCTCTGCCGTTTCCACCGTCGCACCTGGCGATTTCGCCATGTCTCATGGGATCTGCGCGGTTCTGTCAATCCTGTATGCAGGGCCGCCGGCCGCCGGCCGCCGGCCGCCCTCGTCTCCTCTCTGGGCCTATCTGTCCCAACATCGGCTCGGCCCGCTCGTATTTGGCAGTCGGCCGTCGCATGGCCCTCTCCCGACGATTATGATAATGTTGATTTATGTGCCGGGGTGTGTCGACCGCGCGGCCGCTCCCGAAAAGGACCCCGGCCGCCGCGTATTGCCTACTGTGAGCGGTTACACCGAGATACAGAGGTGACATAAACCCACCCACAAACACCCATAAACCGTCTGATGCGCACCGGTCACACGCCGGGAGGAGCCCGGGCTGAGAGGACCACCTGCTTACATCCATATGGCTGGACGAAGTCATAATTTGGATAAAAATAGTAAAGATAAAAAAGTCAATCGAGATTAAATAAAGCAGATCGTTTTAAAAATGTTGAGCAAATGAGTCAATCTAAAACAGGACAAGAAAGGTTAAACACACAGCCCCGAAGCAGTTGCAGAATCTCTTGACCTCCCCCCCCCCCCCCGCCTCGCACAAACACACACAGACACAGAGGACCCCGCATGCCGTACCGGTGGACACTGCTCCAGTGGCACGCTGAGGGTGGCGCCATCCGGGGCAGCCGTGGCCGGCGGCATCTGCGCAGAGCTCGGGTGGATCTTCATAATCTGCCGCTTCATACGGCCACGCCATGACTTGGACTTTGGCGAGTCGCTCATCTGTTCGGCTGCGGACGTGAGAGCGGGCACAGCCGGTCAGTGGGGAGCGGAGTGGCGCGGGGCGGAACGGATGTGTTTGGCTATTTTCTGTCCACATTATGTCACACGAAACCGCCACTCCTTTCGCCATAATGATGGGCTCGCAGGACGGCCGAAATCCAGTTTGTGGTGTAATCTGACTGATCTAAGGATACATTGAGCATGCTACACGACTGCAGAGGGATAGATTAGATACTTCCTCTTTACGACACATAATATGTCCATAAAAGCAGGGTTTTTGCAGCTCATACGCTGCTGACACAATACCCCCTGCAAAATACAGCAATTTTCCGTCTCATGTCTTTTCTCCCCCCTTCCGTCCCGCCTCCCCTCAGCGCGCGCACTCACTCGTTTGGCTCTGTTTGCGCGGTTTGGGGTGGGGCGCCAGCCCGGTGGGCGACCGCTGCCGGTTGGTCAGTTTGGCTCGGATCACAGACGAGGGACTCAGCAGGGTCGAGTCGTTCACCGACCGCGAGCTGTCCTCGTGCTGTCGGCGGAGTCATATTGACACGTCATTACAGACAGGAACTCACACTGTTACAGACAGGAACCACAGACACACGCAGTGTAGGACAGACAGCCGACAGGAAGGCATATTGGTACCAGCGCGCGCTGCACAGTTACAAAAACGATCCCAAAAAGGTACGCTGAACAGTAGATCTAGCAGCTAAACACAACACCACTGCAGTCACTGTAGTTCTCACTTATAGCAACAGCCAACAGGGCGCAACAATCGAAACCAAAATGAAATCCGACAAGCAGCGATGACCAAGCTATTTACCTCCACTGGACCCACCCCGCCCCTCCCGCCCTGCCCTCCGGCGACCCCTCTGACCTGGACCAGCTGGCAGATGGGCCGCAGCGCCTCCAGCCACCGCTCCCGCTCCAGCACGTGCTCCGTCTGCAGCAGGTACTCGGACATCGTGTGCGTCTGTAGGCGGAACACGTTCTTGCGGCGCGTGTAGTCCTCGGCCGTGTCCAGCTGACAGAGCGCAACGTTCACCGGCTGCTCCTCCAGCGAGGACGGCGTCTGGGGGCGGTCAGAGGTCAGAGGTCAGAGGTCAGGGGTCACAGGTCAGGGGTCACAGGTTACAGGTCAGAGGTCAGAGAGCCACGTTCACCGGCTGCTCCTCCAGCGAGGACGGCGTCTGGGGAGGGCCAGAGGCGAGGGGTCAGAGGTCACAGGTCAGAGAGCCTTGTGCACCGGCTGCTCCTCCAGCGAGGACGGCGTCTGGGGACCCAGGGACGGCCAGAGGTCAGCGGGGGAGCAGAGGGGCTAGAGAGGTCAGCGGGGAGTCTGAGAGTCATAGGGGTCTGCGGGGTCACTAGGGCCAGAAGTTCATAGGGTATGTGGTTACATGGGACCAACAGGAAAATGACAAAACCTGAGTGGATCCTAGTGGCTTAGTGAGAGCAGCGATAAAGAGAGGAGAGAAATCCGTACTCCAGTTTTACTGAGACGTTGACGTGAACAGGGAGCCCCTGCAGTTATTCATCAAGCCAGAAACAAACTGAGTTCCGTGCGACCCGCTGGCTGTGCAGTTTTCGCTCCTCTAAGTCTCGCTGCTTGTTTGTTTCTCCTCACTGGACCGTAAGCACTCCCAGCCGCGTCGGATACATCCTCGAAGATCCATCCACCCCAGTTCTGAACGGTTCGTAACACAGGACACACTGCCGACATTCAGTCTGCGTTTGTTGGTCCAGCCGCGTATAAACCTCGTCTGATGACTGTCTGTCACGGCAGCCGCCAGGCTGTACAGGGATACCTTCATCAGCCATCCTGTCATATCAATTTTATCCCTTCAGAGCGATTTAGCGCGCGACAATCGCGCCACGTTTGGGCAGCGGGGGCCGGGCCACAGCAGAGGTGCGCCATATCCAGCACCCTGAGCTGCTCACAAAGATGGCCTAATCGGGGCTGGGTTATGTCATTGACGCCGGCTTTGCGGTGGCGTGTGACCGCCGGAAACGGTTTCTGACCGCCGCAGAGGCGGGAATTCCACGACAAAAGCGGCTTCCAGCGGCGCCGCGGCGGCGACAGGATCAGAGCAGAGGGATTCGAAGACCTCAGTTCGGCTCGGAAAGGTCATCAGACAGGATCTGAGATGGGGAAACGCCTACGAATGCAAGATAATGAAAAATATTCATTGTTATATGAAACCGTATGAAAAAACACACACATGAAAAATGAAGTATTGGAAGCAAAACGAACCCGTTTGTTCAATCCCCCACAGCCCACCTCGGCCGCTCCCCGCCCGCCTCAGCCCGTGACCTCACCTGGTTGACCTCCTTGCGGTCGCGGTAGAAGGAGAGTGCATCGCCGCGCAGCACCGCCCACAGTTCGCGCCACGAGCGGTCCGGCGCGCGCTTTCCGTCCACCATGGCCAGCTTGACGCGCAGCCAGCCCTCGCGCGTCGCGTCGGCCGCCGGACCCGACGCCGGCGGCGAGCTGGGCCACGTCGGAGACGACGGCTTCAGACCGCGTGTCGACGCCGACCTGCCGGGGTCACACAGGTCAGCCGGGGTCACAGGGGTCAGCGGGGTAACAGAGGGTCGGTGCGGGGTCAGATCAGCCCGGAGGCGGTTAGACCGAACACACTCGGGCAGCGGACAGCAGCTCGTCGAGTCAGTTGAAAATGGCACCGGGAGCGAGAGGTAACACGTTTTCCATACACATCGGTGGACTGAAAACTGGGGTAACGGTTCCTATGCGAGCACCGCCCCGGTTACATCCCCGGTGTTACGTCCAATCGGTTACAGTCCGAGTACAACCATGCAGCTGGGACGGCCCAGAGCGCGCTCCGAGGCCAGACATCCGGAGGGCGTCCGAGGCCGAATACACGGGCACATGCGCCTCTGTACAACAGTGCACGGTATCAGCAGATGGACGGTAGACGATCAAACGGGCGTTCCATACGGCGGAATGATCCATTCAGCGATGCAGCTAGCGTTTTGCCTAAAGTGAAATCTAGATACGCTCTAAATTCTAATCCGCTGCCTATAAGTTATCACTAAACTACTTTGTGAGCATAGACCTGCATGTTCCGACTTTCATCGAGCTAGCAGGAGCTTCAAGTGAAACTAACCGGACGCATAAATGCATTGAATGCATTCATAAGCACATTCGTGTTCCATTTTAGTTCCATACAGACGACACACGTTCTGGTGAGGTTCACGGCGTCGCCAGCCACCACTGGTGGGTTCCCGTGGGTGCCCGGTGGGTCCACAGGATGACCCACTGATCCCACCATCAGGCCCCACCTGATGGTGTCCGATCACCGGCTGTCGGCCGCGACTGTACGACCCCTGGCCGCTCATCAGGGACAGTTTACCGCAGCCAGCGGTCCGTGGGACGGGCCGGCTGCACGCAGCCGCCATGCGCCGACCGCCTATATACAAACGGACCATCGGTCGGCCGGCAGCGCGGCCCAGCCGGCGGTCGGCCCAGCCCGGCCGGGACGCGACGGAACGCGACAGGAACCAGCACTCAGAGCTAGTGACATCGACAACTAGTACTCGTGACACGCGTGTGAGCGCCAAAAATAGACAAAACAGGTTATGTTGACCACCGCTCGGACAGCTAAGCGCGCTCAGAGCCCACTCAACTCAAACCACAGTCTAGAGCAGCCACGGCGACCAGCTCACTCTGGCGCCGATCAGACGAACCACGCCGCCGCTTTGGAGAGCGGCCGTCGGCGGGAAGGCCGGGCGTTCCAGGGTCAGTGGACAGAGGGTGAGAGAGACCGAGAGATAGAGAGACAGGGACAGGGACAGAGAGAGGAGCCGTGCTCACACCGCGCCGAGCCAGCCGGCGCGCTACACACCAACACAGACAGACATACAGACGGACACGCACGCGCACACAGACACCGACGGCGCGGGAACAGCACATGCGCATGCGGCCACCCTCACCGCTCCAGGCGCTTCAACTGGTTTTGGGCTTTCTCCTCGAAGAAGTTTCGGAGCTTTTGGATGCGTCCCTTTGGGGGCAGTTCGCTGGCCTTCCTATCGGGTTGGAAGCTCAGAGAAAGCTTGCCGGGCTTACTGTTGGTGGAAGCAGACGGTTCACTCGTCACCGTTCTGGACTGAGGACGATGGCTGGTGATGGGCTATCGAGACGGAGGAGTGAGGATGAGGATAGTCACTAGGCATTGGTGAGTGGTGACTGAGGGTGACTAAATGGACAGCCGACCAGAGACAGAAAGGGATTAGTCCGAAATAGGAGCACATTGAGACCTACTCGGGATTGGGACTGACAGCAGGACTGGCCACTGGATTTCAGCCAACGAGGAACACAGAGCACAGCATCCTGCGTGTCACACGGCACACGGCTGGGAGCTACTACTGAGCAGCTACCGACGGGGCCGCTACTGCCGCCGGGGAGGGGCACGCAGCGGCCGCCAGGGGTCACTTCCCAACAGCGGGGCGGGGGCGGTCGGCCGGTTAGTCCTATATGTGCGCGACACGGGGTCGGAATCTCCCGCGGGGATCAGCGCAGCGCAGCCGGGGAATGCCGACGAGCCGCAGCTCTGCGGCGGCTGACAGAGGAGCCACTCGGGTACATTATGGACACATACCTTTTCGGGAGAGTATTAGAATACAGCGCGCGTTAATGCATCAACAAAGGCCGAGGCGCGGAAGCGCGGCTACTGGGCGGCTCACACAGGCAGAGGTCGCGCCGGGCGGGGCGGACTGAGGGCGCCCGCGGCCAGCGCTGGGTCAGACCGTCAGCACAGAGCGGGCGACAGGGGTCGCCGGCAGCCACACACGGTCAGTTACAGAACGTGGGAGAGACACGTGAGACAGGTGAGACACAGAGGCACAAACTGGTTACGGTGAGACGCAGAGATACAGGGCGACGCGGAGTCACATAGTAGACTCGGTGTTTTACAAAGAAATACAGAGATCAGTGAGCCTCAATGTTATACGTGGGCTGAGTCGGTTACATAGGGTCACATACGAGGCTTTACAGTAGAGGCTACACAGCGTCACCACAGAGGTGAGGTGGGGTCTCGGGGGTCATTGACAGGGGTCACACGGCCATACCCCGGCGGCCACCTGCGGAGTAGTCAATTCACACGAGAGAGAGAAACTGAAGGGAGGAGACCGGTCAACACATCTACACAGCTGACCCGGGCAGAGGCTAAACACGGCACCCGGGCAGAGGCTACACACGGCACCCGGTCACAGACTACATACATACGGTAAAGTCCGCGCTGCGCGGTACACAGAGGTCGGTGACAGTCGGCCGATAACTATCTGAGGGTCCCCACGGAGGCCTACATCACACCGTGGCCGGCCGGGAGTACCGGCACCCCCTCACACACACACACACACACACACACACACATACACACACAGAGAGGCACCGCTACAGGTGGTAGTCACACAGCTGCACGCAGCTGGAACCGGCGCACCTGCCGGCCTCGCGCACACTCGGCTACCTAACGAGTGGCCCGCCGGGCCGGGTCGGGTCAGCCCACCTCCGCACGGCGCGCCGGGTCAGGTCACTCACCGGTCCTCCTTTCCTCCCGTGTGGAACAGACCGTCGCCGGCGGTGGCCTTTATGTAGGAGATGCGCCGCACGGCCCGGTCCGGGTCATCCTCGCCGCCGGCCGCTGTCGGCACACAGGTCAGAGGTCAGGTCAGGGCGGGTATACGAGACGTAGGGGCGCAACAACTCAGGTAGGGACACAGCGACTGGCGACACTGCAAACACGACGCACTGCGGTTAGAGACCAGATGTTATACCATATATAATATATTGGGACACACATACCGGGTCTCGAAAAGCAGCGCGGGGACTGCTGCAAAAGGCATGAACAGGCATCAACATCAGACGTCTTTTTACATGGCTTGAAAATGAATGAATGAAAATGAAGGAGAGAGCGCCGACTTTATTATAATGTCTGGGCACCATATGCGCCGAACGCCTTCGCCAGCCGGGTAAGTGGCTCTCCAAAACCAGCTCTGGCCCCTGTCTGACCAGACTGACTCCCCTGCCCTTCAGCATGGAGTCCGTCCGCGGGCTCATCTCTCAATGGACGGCGGTTGGCCTGCATACACAACCACGACTCGAGTCCGGAGCCGCGCGACACACGGACTGCCGATATACACCGATATACAGCAGCGTGACAGGCGCCGACGGGCCGGCCGCGGCCGAGGGATGCGGGGGCGGTCGGGAGACAGTCCGTGTCGGGCTGAGGGACCGGGGATCTCGGGGGCTCCCAGGACCACACACATACACACGGGAGCGGCCCAACGAGGCGCACCTGTGGGCGGCACCCCCGGCCGGTCCGGCCGGGGGTGCCGGTGAGCGCCACCGGAAATCACCAATATCCGTATATGGGCGCCATCGGCGGCCGCCGTCTATTTACCATGTCGGCGCGGCGCGGCGTTCCCTGCATGGACGGGCGCTCACAGATAATGTTCTCTGACGCAATGGAGCCGCATGGCCGTGCCGGTCACGTCTGTCGGGAACGTCTCTCCGAGACGGGAGCGGTCGGTGCCGGGCCGCCGCCAGCTGCGGCGGCCCCGGCACCGGGTAGGGGTTCAGCACCAGTCGGAGCTGCACTCGCAATCCGCGGCGTCCAGATCCACAGAGATCACTGTCCGGTGAGCCGCCGCCGCTGACACCAGCACCTTGCAAAAAGTGACAGCGTGTCACCCTTCTGCGTAAAGTGAGCGCTCGATGGGGTTTCTCCTGCTCGATTCGTCATCGCGCCGTTCCCCGGGATTCGGCACCAGCGCTGTCGCCGCTATCCGAGAGGCGTGTCCCGGGTTTCGGCACCAGGACTGACAGCGGCACCTCAAAGGTCCGCCCTGCTCCCGTCTATCGCCGGCCGGTAGCCGGCACAGTGTCGACATCTCAGACTCCTGAGACCGGGTCCGGCCGCCGGCGCCGCGCAACAGCGCCAGATTACCATTCCGGCGCGGCGCGCACCATTCCGGCGGGGCCGGGCCGGCAGTTTTTCCTCGGAGCCGGCCGTGCGGCGACGCGTCAAACGCCTTTATCATATCGTGGACGTGCGGCCGGCGGAGAGAGGTCGCGCGTGCCCCGCATACGGAGGGCTCAGTGCCGCCAGCGGGCCGCCCTGCCGGCCGACCGAGCGACCGGCCGCGCAGGCAGGAGTGGGCGGCCGTCCCGCACCGCCGGCGCTCGGCTGAGCCAGCCAGCATCACGAGCTTACAACTGCGCGAAAGACACATCCCGGGCCACATTCGGCAACCCGTCACGAAAAGTGACATCGATGTACCACTTCGGCATAACTGTAACATCACGTCACGACGTTTTCATGGCGTTACGTCACCTGCTCTGACCCTGCGCCGTGGCGTGGTGACCTTCCCGGTCAGCCCGGCTCCGTCACGCTCTCAGCCAGTTCAATGGCCATGGGTGCCGACAGAACGTGACAGTGGGGGCGGCAATCGGACAGCTCCATCTCGGTGCCCGCGCTGGGCCAGCGGTAACGGCCGCCGCGACCCAGATGGCCAGACGCGGCCGGTCTTCCGTCCGGCGGCACCGTGCCGAGAAGAGCCGCTCACACGGTGGCATCATTAGCCGATATCATATATCGATATCGGGTACAAAATGACCCGACTCGGAGTCAGCCATGGTGTAATAACCAGTCGGCGCCGTCTCCATTTCAACAATGAACGATCACGCCAACGGTTGGGCAACCAGGAAGCGGACGAAAGAAAAATGAGCATCTCGACAGAATCAATGAAGTGAACGACCCAATTGGCCGTATCGCCACAGCGATCTGGGCTCGATTTGACCGTCAGAAATCCAGTTACGTGACCCCAGGCTCTGTATCTGGCCGGCCAGCGCTGCCGACAAAAACGGCGCGCCGCGGCGACTCCGGCGCGGCGCGTGACGCGGTTCCCGAGTCGTCTGTGGAGCCGCGGCGGCCGGCGGTTGTCGAAAAAGCCCCGTTCTCACACCATTGCCGGTGAGAAGGTACCGCGGCGGCGGAGCGTCCGCTGGGAGTCTGTCGTCGGTCGCCACGCCCGGAGGCGTTACCAGGTCACCGGCGGCCGGGTCAGCGCGCCACTCCGCGCCACTCCGCGCCGCTCTGCAGTGCGCGCCACCACCCGCCGATGGGTTTACGATAGCCCAGTACGGAGCACCCCAGACCAGACTCGCAGAAGCGGCGGCCTTTCTGGGAACGGTGCGTCGCGGCTGGTCGGGGCTGTCCGCGGCGCGGGGCCGTCGGAGAGGCACGCAGAGTGCGCACAGCACAGCCCGAATACGGAACGGTGTGCGTAAGAACGCCCCAAACGGCCAGTCGGCCGCTCACTTGATGAGGCTTCTGCGAGCGTTAGTCATGGTTTTAAGCCGTGCCAGAGCAAGCGCTGCGTCACTTCGAGGCCACCAGTGGCGTCAGATCCGGAAACACGACTAAAGTAACAAATTACCTATTGGAATCCTACTTGAAATCGTGTAGTTTAAACAAAATAGCTATCCAAGCATAGAATGCATTGCTAACAACGGCAAACCGACAATCATAACAAACCTTTGCAAAGTTTTGGTATTCATTCGAACGTTGCCGCCCTCTCCGCTAAATACTGTCAGGGCCTCCGTCGGCGACATTGCCAACAGGAAGGGGCCAGCCACCATGACCAAACGGCGTCCGTTAGCAAGGCCATCTTGATACACCGACAGTGACCGGGCACCGCTGTCGATCAATCCGATAGCGCCGCAGATGAATAGATCGAAACACAGTGATCAATTTGTCAGCCCGTCATCAAACAGTGTAGAGAAAAGGCTGCAGAATCGAGAGCTATTTGTTCTCCACGGTCACTTGATCGTATTTCCATCTCATTGTCCACGAGCATAATCCTGAACTGGACGTTAATGCTCTTTTCTAATGTAGCTTCAAACGTATCAGGCGATCTAATCAGCACTTTTCTAAGACATAAAACCATCTTATCATTGCACATTATCATAATCAGCATCCATCAGCTACAGTATGTAGAACCGCTCCAGTAATTTCCAGAGGCAGCAGCAGTCTCTGAGGGACCGCCCGGTCCGTGGCCGGAGCCCACAGTCCGACAGAGCTGGACCTCGACCCAGTGTACCGGTCCATCGGGCCTGCACACTGCACAGTCCGTCCCGACACCACTCTGCCATGAGCGAGCACAGCAGAGCGGCCACGCCTCCTTTCACATCAGCCGCCCATCAGCCGGTCCCATTAACGATGCTAATCCCATTAGCCCCATTAAATAGGCGATGGTAAGATAGAGGCGGAAATACGGAACACAGCGTCCGCAAAGGAGCGCTGTTAGGCAGGAGGCCGGGAGAGAAAAGAGCGAGAGAGAGAGAGAGAGAGAGAGAGAGAGAGAGAGAGAGAGAGAGAGAGAGAGAGAGAGAGAGAGAGAGAGAGAGAGAGAGAGTCGATCCTCATGCGAGACACGCTATCGAGTCTCCCTGACCAAGGCCAACCAATCCAATAATGCCGTGTCTGCCGATGTTATGAGACTATTACAGCTCTATTCCGGCAGCGGCCGACGGCGGTCAGCATTATGGACATCGGACAGCGCCGCTATTGACGAGACGCTCCGGGTCATCGCCTGCGTCACCAGACATCATCAGACGTCACTGACGTCATCAGCGCCATCAGACGCCTCATGTCACCGATATATCCCCGAGATGATACTGCCGAGCGGCGGCTTAGACCCGGCACTGGTAATTGCTATTACTCATTACTAAGTACACATAACCCCGTGAAGTGAGCGCTGGCGATGTGCAGCCGGTAGGCTCGCGGAGCAGCGCTGGCGGCGGCGGCGGCGGGGGCGGCGGGTGGTCCACTCCGAGCGGCCGCCTCTCGTCTCTTCCGCGGCCCGCGGCGCCGGCCCGCCCCGCTCCGAAGGGCGACAGGCTGTCTGCCGCGGTGCGGCGGCGGCGAGCACCAGACGCCGGCCGCGTGGGCTGCTCCCGTCCCGTCCCGTCCGCCCCCGGCCCGGCCGGCCACCGGAGTGGAGCGAGGGGAGGTCACCGGTGGACGGGGAGCCGCGCTCAGCCACTGGTGGACGGGAGCCGCGCTCAGTCACTGGTCCGTAGGCAGCTCAGCTTCTGCACCACACCAACGCAGGACGGCAGCGGTCACAGAGCTGACTGACGCCGGCTGTCCGACAAATCCACTGCGTAACAATGATTGATGGCCACTGGCCAGCAACTAAGGCCACAAACCTACAGAAAACAATAATTCACGACTGAGCCCGCCGCTGCGTCGCCTCAATGCCATACTGGGGCGGCTTGGCATGCATTCTTGTCTAATCGTGGGGGCTCAAGTCAGAGCACACAGGCCACGTGCAGTTCATCGAACTGCGGGAGTGCTGCTGGCGTCTCTCTGACATACAGCCGGGATCAGTTGAGACAACCAGCGGCGGATGGCAGGAGACGGCGCACCCCGCGCCATTTTCGTCGACTGGGAGCGCCGCGCCGAGCCCAGACCGGCTGGCTGCGACGTGGTGGGATGCAGCGGGTCGCAAGGCGTCTTAGCGGCGGTTCGGGCACGTCTCGATGAGTTAACGTTCCATCATCCCGCTCAGATGCTCAGGAATGACCCCGGCAGTCGCCCCACCCGGTGACAACGTGGACAACGGTACCCGGCGCCTA